CAAAGGAGTCCAACTGGGATGGAAAAATAGGGGTGTTCTTTCAAGCCACGAGCAAAATCCATATTCCACTTACTTCAAGTGGAGTAAGATGCCATTCCCATTGTGCAGCCATTCAGCATGTAACGGTGTGCATCGCCAGCTCACTCACGACAGACCCCACCTCTGCCTCCGCTTGTTAAGCTTGGCTCCACCTTGGATGTCCTGCTGCGCTGCACTCTGCCACGTTTCTTGGGCTTGGGTCATTCTTGCCTGGATCCAAGAATGGAAGGTGGTATTCTCTCACATGCCACCCAGCCACAGCACCAAACTGCAGTGTTACTTGCTATGAAAAAAGCCTGTCTTTATTAAGGTGTCTTCCCCTCCTGTCTTGTATTTGTATGCTTTAGTCAGCAGTGAAATAGTTAACTATGCCAACATTTACATTTTCATTATTGGACTTCTGAGTTAACTTCTGAGAATGAGGAAGCACTTAACAGCTCAGAGATAGTATCTTAGGCCCAGCAAATTGAGGCAGAAAGCACTAAATCTGTTACTTAGACTCAGTTTGTGTTTTTAAAGTAAAAGAGAATGAACACCACAAGATGGATCAGGGAGGCAGGGTATGTCATGTGTCTTAGTTCTGAGCCACATCTACACTGCTCACAGCAACTGCTACTTACCTTCTCACTATGCTGAGAGATCATGGTACCACACAGTGGCAGTTTGACTAAACATAATTATACCATGATGTGCAAAATGATCCTTATGTTGGAAAGCAGTTCCCCATGAGCACCAGTGTGCTGGTTGGAATTAAATCATACATTCAATCCATCATACAGATGCGGTGCATCCAAAGGTCCTGAGGGAGTTGGCTGATGTGAATGCAGAGCCATTGGCTATTATCTTCGAAAACTTGTGGTGATTGGGAGAGGTCCCAGATGATTGGAAGAGGGCAAATATAGTGCCCATCTTTAAGAAAGGGAAGGAGGGGGATCCAGGGAACTACAGATCAGTTAGCCTCACCTCAATCTCTGGAAAAAATCATGGAGTAGGTTGTCAAGGAATCCATTTCTAAGCACTTGGAGGAAAAGAAGTTAATTAGGATCAGCCAGCATGGATTCACCAAGGGTAAATCATGCCTGACCAACCTGATTGTCTTCTATGATAAGATGACTGGTTCTGTGGATATGGGGAGAGCAGTGAAATCAATATCCCATCAGCCTGACCTCTATCCTGGGGAAGGTCTTAGAAAGGATTATCAAATAGGCTGCAACTAGATTTAGACAGACTACAAAAGTGGGCAGATGAGAATAGGATGGGGTTCAACATAGACAAAAGCAGGGTGCTGCACCTTGGGAGAAGGAATCCACAGCATACATACAGGCTGGGGAGTTCCCCTCTTCAAAGCACAGAGGCAGAACGGGATCTTGGAGTCATTATGAACATGCTGGCTGCGGTCTGGCATTGGCAGCTCAAGGCCAGCCTTACCTTGTCATGCATCCAAAGATGCATCTCAAGCCAGTCCAGAGAGGTGATACTCCCCCTTTATGCGACTTTGGCAAGGCCACAGTTGGAGTACTGGGCACAGTACTGGGCACAGGGGTGTAAGTTGTAGCCATTTTGGTCTAAGGACATAGGCAGACAAGGTTCCTTGGGTGAATCTGATATCTTTTATTAGACCAACCCAAATAGTTGGAGAATAGTTATTAAGCAAGCTTTCGGGTTCAAAAACCCTTCGTCAGGCTAAGGAAGTTTCAGCATTTTTGCAGGCAATCTTGATTTTGGTATGTTCCCTCCCGAAATTTTAATTTTACAGACCGTGGTGTTATTTTAAATATGTATCTATGAATATATGCACACATAAAATGCATACAAGTGTAATACATTAATTATATATATGATAATTAAAAAAAAAGCCAAGAGAAATGTAGTCATTCCATCATGTGAACGTGCACTGGCTCTCATCTCTACTTTTCGGTCCACAGCCCAGGCCTCTACAACTTGAATTTAAGGAGCAACTGGGAGAAGCCGCAAGTTGTTAAACTTTATAGACTAGCCATTAGAGAGGGATGTAAA